AGTGTGTGTTCTGGGTCAGACAGCCGTGGACCGAGAGCATCAATGAGGTTTCAGTCTGTTTCAGTGACAGTGTGGAGCAGTAACTCATTAACAGCTCCAGTAAACGAGGACCAGAAACTCCAAAATTACCATTTTTACCTGAGCCAAAGATTTYATTTTAACCAGGACTATGTAAAAATTACAGAAGGTATTCCTATGGAACATGGGCCAGAAAAGAATTCAGTATATGTTGGTAGAACCAGGTATTTTTCACTCTTACTTTGAAACTGGAWGGTAAATAATTCATGGGGCTTGATGAAGGACATCAGACTTATTTAACTGGTGTCCTTGAATCTGAGTAATTTGATGCAGTGACATTTTAGTTCCTCATTTCTTCTTAGCAGCTAGCTGATGCTTGTTATGTTCATTCAGGAATCAGCACCGACTCAAATCTGCTTTGACGGTCAAATGACCTTTAAGGCCTAATATTTATCTTCATAGAGGAAACACTTCTTCCTATTTGGACTTCGTGTTTACATCCAGAACAGTGTCACCTGATACCAGTGACCTCAGTGAAGACAGGCCCACGTGGTGTCTCACAAAGTGTGATAATAATGGTCTGGAGCAGGACAATAAAGTATGAATTACCTTATTAAAACTCAAGTCATGAAGTGATGTGTCTGAACTTTTCAAGACTTAACTCATTAGCAACAAGTATCAGAATATTGCACGTTTGTGTCTTGTTGTGGCAACAACTTGAACCTTGTGTTCATTAGTGGTTACAACAGAGAGCTGAGACAGGAAGTCTGCAGGGACCCTCCTCTGCAGCGATCACATGCTGCCCTATCAACTCAGCTCGTAAAGAAAGTTCACTTTGCAGAAGAATGAGTCACAATTTAAACATAATCACGAAATGAATCTGTAGACTGTGAATGTATTATCACAATATTGATGTTTTTCCTCTAATGAACCTAAATCCTCATTTGAATAACTGAGTCACAATATTTCATGAAATTGTGATTTAATGTAACGTATCAACTCGTGCACTTGGACACAAAGTTTCCATTTTTTGGAGACAGTCTGCCTCATTGAAAGTTCTGCGGTGGAGAAACTGAAACCATTTCTGAATGAAGCGTCTGTCAACTGAACTGGAGTCTGAAGGAAGCAGTTGATGGCAGGTTCACATCCACAGTGTTTGTGCTTCAGGCAACCGAAACACGTTGTGTTCCTGAGAATAATGTTTGAGTCAATACGTTTTCTAGATTTTATCGTCAGGAGAAAGTCAAAAACGTTTCTTCATGATCAAATCACTACATTGAATTCCGGGACTGTTTAGACAACTACTGTGACACTGGGTTGTGGGACCAATGGCTTATGAACTGTGTTACTAATTCCAATCATAAAGCAGAAGATGGTGACATCAGATGGCTGCTTGCAGTGAGACAATGTCCGCCTGTGTTGGTTAGATTAGAGCTTCAGTTGTTCTGTCGAGGCTTTTGTTATGCAGCAGTGGTTTCACTTTACCTGAGGTGGAAAACAATAGATGTTTGTCCAACAACTTTAACCGAGGAGCTTCCCCCAACAGCTTCTGGCTGGAAAGTCGTGCATTGAGTCTTTTTGTTGTCAGTGCCAGCATCATGAGGTCAATCAATCTACTTCCTGTTTACACCACATCACCAGTGGACGTGAACTGTCATGTGACGTAAACAGTGTAGGTTTGACTGTGGAGTCTGAGAACATCATTTGTTTCTGCTTCCTCTGGACTCTCTTCATGTATTTTCAACTTGAATTATTTTCACCATAAGAGGATGCAAACCTGTGTGTGTGTGTGTGTGTGTGTGTGTGCGTTGTATACCTGTGTCATGATTGGGTTTTAATGAGTGTCCTGGAGGCCTCAGACCTCCCAGGAGTCTCAGTGACCAGTGCATTAATAGAATTAGATAGATTAGAAGCTTCAGTGAGGCGTTCAGGGGCTGATGGACAGGGAGCAGCTTCCTCTGTGGGACTGGTCTGGTTCTCAGTCAACGTTCCAGTTCATCCCAGAGCTGCTGAATGTGTTCTCAGTCTAAAGGTGTCACACCAAACCGGGAAACTTTATTTACAGGTTTACACTATTGTCTAAAATACCAGCTGGTCCCAAACCAGGTTAACAGCCTCGGACTTGCACATAAGGGCCAAGTTTCACAAAGGAAAAGTCATTGGAATCACTGCTGTGATCTCATTGAAGTTTCATTGGAGTCTGTCTATTAGATGATGTGTTTCTGTGTAATGTTCAGAAGTCAGGGTTCATACAGAGGCTCATCATGTTGTTGTGATGTGAGTCGCTCTATGTCCCAGAAGCCCCCTGGTGTCAGTGTTGCCCTCTGAGCTCTGATAAACATCTATTACTCTCACAGGATTAATTACCATCACAAACTGTTGATAAGTGTTTTGTTCGGAGGCAGCTCACTGCGGACCTCCTGGTGATTCAGGAACATTAACGCTCATTACTGGCTGCTGTGGTAACTGCATCACACAATGATGAAACTTTTGTTTTGGTTTAATGTTCAGCAACAAAGTTTTAATGTGCAAAACTTTGTTGCTGAAGAGAGGAAGCCCAGATATTACTGTGAGTCGTATGTTGGACTGGTTCATGTGACTATTGTGACAACTTGAACTTTATTTATTAGTGAGTCCCAGAAAATAAATGCTCTGTTCATGAAACTGGAACCTGAACAAAGAGTTCCCTGAACAGATTGATGTCATCAGATTAAACTTCACAATACAAATTACATGACACATGAACATGAGTGCTGTTACAGCTGATATGCTGATACAGCATAACACGCGTGATACATGTTAAAAGTTACATGTAATGAACGTGATTGTGGAGGCTCAGTGCACAGAGACAGTGTTCAGTGGATTTTTAGCAGTTTAGTGTCCTCTGCTGCCTATTTTCTGCTATTACAGTGTCATGCACATCCAGGACACGAATTAAAACACAAAGGTTTTTTAATCTAAAATATGTCATCTTTATCATTGGTCCTGTCTGTTTCTCTGAGGGGGGGCTTAACTTTTGAACCACGGCCTTTACATTAACTTAACAGTGAAATGATCAGGAACAAGATGTGATGACAGGAGGAAACAGACTCTGAGCTGAATGTAAACACTGACTCCAAATAAGAAGAGAATGAAACATAGGTAAAGTTCATCTGCAATTTAAAAATTATGAATAAACTCTTTATTTTCTCTCCTTATCAGAAATCTTCTTCGGATATTGTTTTTCTCGCTCAGCTCGAAGGTGCGTTGATGCAGTTGTAAGACCAGTGAGACCAGATGGAAGCCTTTGTCACAGTGAATTGTTAAGATGCCTTTTGTTTGGCAGTGAATCAACCACCTAACTTGAAACAGGCACAATGTTGAGACCTTGTTCGTCTGGCTCCTAATTACAATCCAAGTATTCTTGTGAAACATGAACCGTTCCAGAAGGTTTTCTGTCTTTACTTTCTGCCAGAGTCAGACACAAGTGTTTGAAATGATGGTCCTTGGTTTACGGTTTGTTTGGACTCTTTGCTTCATCAAATCTCTGTTGGAACTGGCCACCGCAAAGTCAGCGCAATCCACAGAGCAACAAGGCCATGTTCATGGGAAATACACCATATCCAGAATTATCCTTTAATTACCAGACTGCTGCATCTTGAGTCCAGTAACCATTGAAGTACATAACAAACTACTGCAGTTGTGTAAATTGTGTATTAAATCTGTTAGACATGCTGCAGTCAGACACCCTGTGAGGTCACAGTCAAACACTTTGTTCAGGGTCTGCGCTGCTGTGCATTCTGGGGTTTCTCCTCTCCGCGCTCTTTTGGTTCATCGACAAACCGACAAAATACCATTTATGGCACTTACATATAATATATTTTGAAAATAAATCACAGTAAACAAAGTTGTTTTCATATGAAATATTTAATGTGTTTCATGGCATTAACTGAGTTATGTGTAAATCATTTGACAAATGTTCAAGACCACACAAACAGGAAATACAACCAGCAGTAACTGTGATAAAAGTGGCATCATTACAAACAATACAAAACATGACACTTCAGAAACTTCAGGCTCCTCAAATTTCACTTTTCTTCTCCTGAAGTAGATTTTTTCTCAAAGAGAATCTCTAATACATCAATGATGAGATTAGGACCACGAGTCATTCATCAACTGTTCACATACAAATCTGTCTTCTCCTTCTCCTGCTCTATTCCTGCTTTCAGTCCAATCCTCCTGTTTCACTCTTCTGTTTGCTGGGTTTTCAAAAAGAAATATTCACAACTGACTATTGTGGAGGACACAAGTAACAATTAATTGATCGCTACGAACTTTAGATGATGATTCAAGCCTCTCCGGTTTGAGAATACAGAAATATTTGACATTTCCTCTAGAGTTCTGCTGTCGTTCATTTGAATTTGATTGATTGAACAAATCTGGCATGCACTTTGAAGTGTTCAAAAAATCAACACACAAAACATATGCATGTAAAAAGTGTAACATTCATAAAAATTTTTAAATTGTGACCTTTTTGTTCGTGTTCAGCTGTAAGACAAAGTGTGTTGCTGTAGATCAGGTCAGTGTTGTTCATCTTTGAAAACAGATGTAAACCAGTCTGGATTATATAAAGCTCCCAGCATCATTTCATGTTGTGTTCATCTCTTAATTATAACATTAATCAACATTCTTCATTCAAACAAAATACTGAAACCTGGTTGTCGTGAATCCAGCTGAGATTAGTTTCACATAAATTCCCATAAAGGTTCAGTGTGGAGAATGTAGTGACATCTAGTGGTGAAGCATCATGTTGCAGCTTTCCAATATATTGGACGAGGTCGGACTTCTGTGTCCAGCTGCATAAAACTGCATAGAAATAGAAATTTTTAGCATGTTGTGTTCTTGAAATACACAGATCTCTACCGAGCTCAGTTCCATTCAGTTGAATAGGGAACAAAGTGTTTAAAAAATGAAGATGAAGACAGAGACAAAGTGCTGCAGAAACCAATGAATAATAATAAACTATTAATTTGCTGGATCAGTTTTAATAGATTCATCAAACACGTTGGCTTTTTTCCTTGATTCTCAGGAAACATTTATGTTGTTTGGTTCATAATCATTAACCCCAATAATGAAAAGTAGTTATTATGACAACTTGACAGAAATTCCTACTTGACACTGGCAACATATTTGATGGAGGAAGGAATCAGATGTTTCTGGAAAGCTTGTGTTCAAGAGTAAGAAAAAGAAACTCACTAAACTCTCATTTGCAACACAAAGTCTCACGTCACTTGACTCACGCATCAGCAGTAGGAGGGTTGATCATCAAATTATTGTTTTTCCAGAGTTGATAGTAGATATAGTGACGCTAGATCCTGTGGGTTAGGTTCTGAGATCTGAAGACCTGAAGGTCATGCTTTTAATAGTTAACTCATATTTGATGGGTTACTTTTTCAAAGCATTTGAAATTATGTGTTTCTGATTTGTTTTGACATGAGTGAGACTTAAAGCTCATTAACTAACAAACCATCAGTGGAAATGATGAATGTTTCAGGTTGAATGAGCAAATCATTTTATCTACGTACTAACTTCTCCTCTTGTGATTCTTTGACACTAGCTCTCTATCAGATGGCTTTTCCCAGGATGAGGATACTCATGAAGAAGACCATGATGAAGAACAGCCACATGAAGAATCTATCCATGACCTTGGCGACCTTCCTCCATTCCCCGATGCGCAGCTGTGCTGCTCGCTGGTCCTGGTATGAGTTGGCAATGTACTCAACGTTCTTGCACAGTCCCTGGTGCTGGCAAACACACTTCACTGAGACCTCCCTCCTGTTCTTCCAGGCTTCACCTCCTTTCTTTTCCTCTCCCTGCTCTTCTCGTCCACCAGCAGCTCCTTCCTCCTTAGCGTGGTCGATGGTCACAAACAGATCCTTCTTCCAGGCCTTCTGGTCGTTCAAATCCTGCCTCACCTTCATAGACTCCCCTGGCCCGTCCTCTTCCACCCTCCCTCCCCAGGCCTGTCCGTTCACATCTGAGTTGGGTCCTCTGTTATTGCCACCATTGGCTGAAGGGGCCTCAGACTCCTCGTGAGACAGAGGTTGTTTCTTGGCTGAAGTCCCACCGAAACAGTTGTCTCCGACCTCATAGACAAAACAGATGCGGGCGAGGTGATTGAGGATGAAGCGTTCGGCCCATTCTGGGACAGGACGAGCCTCAGGACCGCAGTGGTGAATGTTCATGATGAAGATGGTGAGTGCTGTTGAAGCAGTAACCATCGTCATGGTAGCAATGTAGTATTTTCCTGTTGAAAAAGGACAGTGAAGGTCATTTAGAGGTACTAACAGTCAAATCTATAAAGGAGCCAGACGTACATTTCCTTTGCCAGTGGTTTCTCACTATGTGAGGAGACATGCCAGTGTGGCTGGGGCTAGCTGGTTAGCATGCTAACTTCAGTTTAAGCAAAGCGGTTAGAGAAATAAAAGAAAAACAAGATAAAGAGTTATGTTTACATCTCATCTCTTACCAAATATATATGCCGTTAGCAAAAGCTTCTGGGTTTTATTTTACCGAGTAAATTGAATTTATTACGTTGCATTCTATTGACGGTGTTTGAATGTCAGACTTTTATGTAGTAAATATTTTATTTGGGATAAATATATGATTCATTTGTATCTAGGCTATTTACAGTACGACCTTATTAGGTTTTAAAATCCCCCTCCACTCAAAATGTAGTTCCACTTATTTCTTTTGGATATTTGACTTTCACTGCAAAGAACAATTTCCGACCAGATCGTGAAACTTCTGAAGCTTTTAGAAATGAACCTGCTCCATGTAATCAGATTAAATCTCAGTTGAACACTTGCACAAGCAAATATCACAGACATCTTTAGTTCAGCAGTTTGGATTGATTTTATTGTGACAAGAAAAACAATCATTGTTTCAAAATAAAAGACTAAGTTTTTCATTTCGATTATGACAGTAAATGCATAAATAGAAAGCAAATACATACAACACATATATTTCAAACTATTTTGGTTTTCTGTGTCTTCTATGTGATCATTTTAACTCTCAGGCCTGTTTGAGCATCCTGTGGTTTCTGGAAACATTTGACTTCCTTGTATTTTGACTTCCTGCTGTCTGTGTGTCTACAGCAGCGACAGAACACAACATTACAAGACATGAGAGTATGTGAGTACAAGACAAACAAGATCATGCTGAACCTTTTAGTACCAGAGCCCATCTCAACCGTATTTGTATTGCAATAGTTTGTAGTGGGTTGTTCTGGGCACTAAAATGTGTTCTTCTTGCAGCAGTAAAAAGAATGTGACCCGTCAGTGACTCAATAAAGCTCATACCTCACCATCCAGATTTAACTTTGAAGTATTTTCTATCAAGATCCATGATTTGTTTCAGAGGAATCAAGGAAACTATCAAAAAACCTCCTGTTTCACACTTGACAAGAAAGAGATGAAAAATTCCTGGATCCCATGGAAATGATGTTGGTTCAGTCCTGACCCATAATGCATCCTCCCCCCAAGTGTCATGATAATCTGTCCAGTAGTTTTTGTGTAAACCAACAAACAGGCAGGAGTGCAAACAGTTACCACTTCCACTTAGGAAACCGTGTACATTACTATTCTAATGCACATTTAATGGTTAGAATGACACATGGCTGCTATTGAGCAGCACACACCAGTTTACAGTTGACTGAGAAAACACAGAAGTACAATGTCCTCATTGATCTGAGTTCGAGGTTTTGAGCAAGTATTTTGTCAGTTATTTATCCCGTTTTTTATTCTCGAGTATAACTGCGTTAACTTGAGGTTTTGTATTGGACAGATGACCAGGGGGGCAGAGTTTTTCCCACAGTCATTATTGCAGGGATTGAAGAATGGGAAGAGTTTGTCAGTGAATGAGCAGCCAGTGAACGAGTAGATGACAGAAGCAGTATCCACATCATACAAAGAGACCACACGCTCTTCGTAATCAACAAACACCCCCACCTTCTTGGGCCGAGACTTCAGATTGAGAGTTACGCGAGATTCAGCCAAAGCTTTGTACTCATTTTCATTCCTTAAAGACACAGTCCAGTAACCATTCAGAGGATGCAGAGTGATCTGTCCCTTCCTGTTGACCGACTCACTGGCTACTCCTAAGTCCCACTTTGTCTTCCCTTCAACCTGAACCTCAAAGTAAAATCTTCCTGATGAAAAACTGTTCTTTCCTAAAACACTGGCATAATAAGAAAATCTCTTTGGATTGTCTGGGAGATTCTTATTTACTTGACCAAACTTCACCTGTTTCCTGTCATCAGACACAACGAGCCAGGGATTTGCTGAATCAGGATCAAGTGTCACATTGGTAGCATACTGCTGGACCCTCTTCAGCTCTGACTCAAAGAACATCTGTATCTCTTTATTGAGCGCCTCTTTCAGCTCAGCTACAGCTGCTGCCACAGTCCCTTTATATGATGGCTGACGGATACTAACATCTGTCCTGTCTTTGGCGTCCTTTAAGGAGGAGAAGGTTTGGACGAAGAGGACGTGGTCTTCGGAACACGAGAGCTGCTTCAGCTCCTCACTTTTCTTCACCAGGTCAAATATCTCATGCTCCAGCTCTTCAATCAAGCCTTTGGTCTGTTTCTCTACTGGTCTGTGTTTGTTGTTGATTGTCTCTATGAACTCAGCCAGGCCTCGGTCAATGGGCTCCTTCAGAGCAGCAAAAACCTGAAGACCTTCTGCTTTCTCTCTGTTTGCACGTTCAGTACTGACCTCCACTGAATGTTTGAGCTGCCCAATCATCAGTTCTCTCCTCTGGATCAGCTGCTGAATTTCGACTTCTGTCTTCTCCAGCTCAGCCTTTTTTTCTTCATATTCTTTTTTCACAGGGATGACATTGTGTCTCTTGTGGTCTAAAATCATGCAGAGCATGCAGACACATATCTGGTCAGTCTTGCAGTAGAGCTCCAGAGGTTTATCGTGTTTCATGCACATCCGAACCTGCAGATTCTCCACAGGATGGATTAGCTGATGTTTTTTCAGACTTGACACTGTCAGATGAGGCTCTAGGTGAGTCTCACAGTAGGAGGCCATACACACCACGCAGGACTTCAAGGCTTTCAGTTTGGTTCCAGTGCAGACGTCACAGGAAACATCCTCTGCTGTTCCACATGTTCGCTCTGAGTTGTTCCTTTTGGCCTCTGGTTGGGTTTGTCTGAACAGTGCAGCCATCTGAGAGATCAGAGTATTGACCCGCAGCTCCGGTCTTGTGTAGAAAATCTCCTTACACATAGGACACTTGCACGGGATATTGACAGCCCAGTGTTGAGTGATGCAGTTCTTACAGAAGTTGTGCCCACATGGTGTGGCGACTGGATCAGTGAACACATCCAGACAGATGGGGCACACAAACTGATCTTCACTCAGTCCACAGCTGGAAGCAGCCATGTGTGCACACTGAGAACAAGAGTCAAAGAGTGAAAAACAAAACTGGAATTCTTATTTTAAAAATATCAGTTCTGTCTTATTCTGCAGTGGAGCCTGAGCCGTGTACTCACATGTTCCTGCTGTGTAGTTGAGTCCTGACGAGCTCACCTCAACTTCTCTTACTATTTTGGAGATGTGAGACTTATCTCGACTGCAGCTCTGCTGTCGCTCTGACAATCTTTCATCTGTGGAATGAGGCTTGACTCTTACCGAAACTGTCACACGGTTTTGTTGCATTTCTGGTTTGGGATTTTTTCGTGGTGACACATGTTTGGCACACTGGTTCACTGGAGTCATTCTTTATAGCAGCCAATCAGCCCCAGCAATTATAAGGCCGGTCAATGTAGAGCTCAATGTATTTGGATCCATCGGCCCAACACTTCCTCCAACTGTCATGTTGAGTTCAAAGTTTCCAAAGTGATGGAAATAAAACTAGACAGTTTCTCTTCAGTGGGTTTTTTAAAGCATTAACATTTTCTGCTTTAGTTCTAATGTTGATGTTCGAGTCAGAACAGGTTTGACAGGATGTCACAAACATAAAGTTCCTCTGATGATATTCACCTGCACTGCTCACTGCTGTTTGAGGAAACTGCTGGATTTGACTCAGGCTTGAAATCAGTGAATTCATGTGTTGACGGGTTTAATACAAAATCATGAATCAACTTTTTTGCCACAACTCCATCATGACACGACAACGCTGGGACACTCTTGACCCCGCGTGTCCTGACATTGTGTCATTTGCACTGAAAGAAAATCATTCTCAAAAATCTGGAATGAGATTGATGTCTTTCACTGATCACGAGGGTCTTCACAGTCCCTCTCAGCTGCTTGAATTAGAAAGTCAATGACAACATTTCATTGATATTTTCTCAAAGAACAACTCTAACAAAACTTCCCTGAATCTGCTTACCTATCAGTGGGACGCTCTCGGAGGKCGGCATGCTCTYAGCCACCAGCAACTGAAACACAGTGAGGGCCAGCAGCACCGTGACGCCGAGGGATACCTTTTCACCCGAGTCAGCGGGCAGGTAGAAGCCCAGCGGAGCCAGAAAGGAGATCATCATGCAAGGGATGAGGAGGTTGAAGATGTAGAAGGACGCCCGTCTCTTCAGGTGGAGGGTGAAGGTGATGTCGGGGTACGGATCCGAACAGCAGCCGTATAGGATGACGTTTTTCTTGGCTGGCATCCCCAGAACCTGGTTGAGAAATGGAAATATTTTAGATTTTGTCAAAGAACTCTGAAACACGTTGCAAACACATGAACATGGCAACAACTAACCTCCCACTCAACATTGGAGACAAAGTCGGACAGGTCAGCACTGTCCAAGGCATTGAACAAGTCCATCTGGTTGCCATTGTGAGTCCAGGAGCCGAAGGTCAGGTGACATTCCTGCACATCGAAGGGGAAGAAGGCCACGTCGACAGAGCAGGAGCTTTTAGTGATGGCCGGCTGGTCCCACATGACCTGGCCATCATCACGGAGAACAACGTTGGTTTCCATGGAGCTGGAGAATTCATCGTCCGCACTGTGGAGGAGAACGTTGAGGAGGTGAACTAATAGAGGACAAGTCCTCACCCTGTGTTGCTGTCTGTGTTCTCCGAGGACACACCCACCTGTTGTACAGAACAATATCAGGTCTCCATACGTAGCTGCTGGGAATGCGGATGGTGTCGAGACCGTCATAGTCGTCCTTATCCCAGGCGAGGTAGGCGTCCATCCACACCTGGCGTATCCACAGGTAGGTCGTCAGGATCTGGTTCCGCTCATCCTGGTGAAATGACAGACAGTGAGTGTAACATAAAGAAACACAACAGGAATATATGTGCTGTCAGGATGTTACCATGTCGATGATCTGGGAGAGAGTGATCTGCAGTGTGACATTGATGATGTGGTCAGTGTCCTCCACCGGCCGCAGGGCGTTGGTGTAGTTGGAGAAAAGGTCATTGAGCAGCTTCTGAGCGAAGCGTCCGTGAGCTGCCCAACAAACTCCAGAGTAAAAACACAGAATCCTTTTATTAAACCACTTAGGTGAACAGAAATCCATTTAATGAACCCAGGAACGTTTCTCTAGCGCCACCTTCAGTGCAAACTTCTCATCTTCTGGAAGGTGAAACACTTTCAGCACATGAATCTTGTGACTGAAGGAAACCTGCAGCCTCAAGAGGGCGCTCTCCTCTCTCTCTCTCATAAGTAACATCAAGTCCTTTTTCTCTGCAGTGATTCTCTCTTCATCCTGAAACGTCTCAAATTCCATAAAACAGACACACACGCAAATCACAACTCCCAGTTCAATTAACCTTCCTGCCTCCTCAGATTTCACACATTAATCAGTAAATGTCTGCGGACTGATAATTCCACTAAATCCTGCCACAACTCTTAATGACCATGATGAGGTGAACTAAAAGGAGACGTGTGACGATTCCTCCATCAGTGGAAACCTGAAACAAACCAATACAGTGACTGTCTCAAGATTCATAAAGTACATGAAGCTCGCTCGACTTTAACGGAACCGCAGGACGAACGTGGTCAGAGACAGCACATTAACTAGCTCTGAATGAATCATGATGATATCACACCATGACTGTGACAGTCTGAGCTAACAGAGTGAAATCAGCTGGTGAGACTCAGTGTCCACATCAGCTGATGAGATCTGAAGAACCAAAGGATTCTTTACATTTTCCAATCTTCATATCAGATGAACATGTCGTTAGTCAGAGCAGATGGAACGTCAGGATGATACCAGCACACACAGCCTCTCCTGCTCCAGTAACCATATAAGTCAATAGTATTGGTCCTGCTACGACAAACACTCTCAGCTGCAGTCAGTCGACTTCATGCAGCCGTGGAATGAATTCCAGTCACCAGAGAAACATTCTGTGAACTCACTGTTTAACTTTGTGCCTCTTAATCAAACCTGTTTTTCAGTATTTGGCCTAAACTGCTGGAGATAGACTGCAACACAAGCTCCTCCCCCTCTGTGTGACTGTGGCTCCACAAAATACAAAGATTTGAATGACGTATTATTTCAACCAAAACAGTAAATACAACACATCACATAATAAAGTGAAAGTAATCACGAGTAATCATAATTCATCCTTATGAAGAGTCTCCTTCTTACACAGATTCTTTATTTGATTGAAGATCATGTACTTCCCCTCGAGTCACTGGTTTATAGAGTTGTAGTTTGCAGAAACTACATTTTCCATAAAACCCTAAAAAATAAATCTGGTTTGCTGAAACTAATCAGTCCTTTTTAAAGCCACAAATGCAGAATAAAAGATATATAAATACAACTACAACAGAAAGAGAGCCTCAGAACTGACTGTAAAGTTCAGTTCACCTTTATGAAGTAGTGGATGTATTACACTTCCCATCACAGATCGTAAAGTAAATGTGTCTTTTAATTGAACAAAATGTACAGAATAGAAAAAACTGAATTTTGTGTCATAGAATTGTGTTTTTCTGTTTTAAGCCTTTGGAAGAATCAGAAACATTCTGTGTTGATGTTCCAACGAGTGAGCAAAATGATTTTATTATTATAGATTATTTATATTTCTCTGTTTGTTGTCTGGATGTTGTAAAACAAGAACAACCACAACAACAACAACAGCGAAGAGTCCGCAGGAAGAACTCCTGAACTCTAACAGCAATAAAGACGAAGAGATTGATGAGTGTGAGAACAGACGTTAGGACAAAATGAACAGAGGTAATCCCCCCCACAGAGGTTTAACCACATGCTTTGCACAAAAAAGGAAATGCACAGAACCACGGTGTGTTCAGTGACCTTCAGATGTCTGTCTGAGACAGAGTGGGAACAGCCTCTGTACTAAAATGGAAATGAACAACAGTGTCATGCTGCTTGTGAAGGGTCATCATCGTTATTCATGATTCATGTGACGATAACTTTATAATGTCACAACTATTCTAATTGAATTTATTTTCAAAACGACTCGTCTCCACAGCAAGATCTCAGATTCAAATGCTGCCATCTTGTGGTGATGAGGTCATTTACAGTCAGTCTGTGCTATAGTGATCGAGGAGGAGCTGTGGTATCGAGGCCCCGCCCATACATGCTCACAACAAATCAGGAGTCCGTCTCAGCTGTCAATCATGAGCCTGTTTTTATATCATCAAAGAACTAATTAAACCAAACGGATCAGAAACTTGAAGAAACATCAGAGAGAAGAGAACGAGCTGTAACGACAGAAACATCTTGAAACATTTATTTAACGTCTGCTTTGATTCTTTACTTCGGCCCATGTCCCATGTGACTGAGTCATTGTTCAGAGGTCTGTTGACTGATGAGTCAGCACTTTGTCTGATAGCAGCAAGTGTTTGTGTTAACAGCTGTGAGAGGACGCCAGCTGGCGTATAACACGCTCATACACACACACACACACACACACACACACACACACACACACACACACAACCACAGACAGTGAGGTCTAGGGTTTAGTTTTTTGGGGGTTGAGCATCTTGCCCAAGGACACTTCGGCATGGGCTGGGATTCGAGCTGCTGGTTAGAGGACAACTGCTCTACCCCCTAAGCCATAGCCGCCCAGACTTTTATTTTTGTTGACATATAAATAAAGTTTTGAGCACAAATCATCAGATTGGATCAAGGTCAGTTTGATGTTCAGGGGCCGATGTCAGCGCTGATATTTAAAGTAAAACGTTTCCAATACAAAGAAATGAGCTGATGTTAAAGAAAATGTCGATGATGAGACGTCGTTATCAAACCTCGATGACTGACGTTTGAATTGTTACAGTTTAACACACAAACGTTATAAATTATTACCAATAAAAACACAAAAACAACCAAATATATAAAAATGAATTAGGAAAATAATCGTATTTTGTCTTTGTAAGATATAAACATAAATACTCAGCCGAACAATAACCGGCTCTGATTATTGACTCGTTGGATGTTGAAACTTTTAATTGAAGTTGAAGCTCAAAATGAAAAATCTCCTCAACTAAATCTTGTTTGTCCATAAATCTGACTTTGATGAAAGATTCTGACTGAAAATCTACACACACACACACACAAACACACACACACAAACACACACACACGCACACACACAAACACACACACAC